GCAAGTCTTTGCACTCAGGGGGCTAAACTCCAGTAGAGGGAGTAACAGTAAATAAAATATTTCATGTGGGATGTGTTAAGTGCAACAAAGAAAAGTAAAGCATCTGGAGACCAAGACAGTTTCAAATGGTCAAAGAAGACCACTAAGTCAGCGAGGTACATTTTAAATGAAGGCTTTAAAGGAGTCAAGGAGTAAGCCTGTGGATATCTGGGGGATGTTCATCCCAGTCAGCAGTGAATTCAAAGACCCTGAGTAGGAAATATGCAGTGAATTCAAAGACCCTGAGTAGGAAATAGGTAGTAAAAGGTGTCTAGTTTGGTTGAAATAGGATGAACAAAAGAAATGTAGTCAGAAAATTATGTTCTAAGAAAAATATTTTTAAAATAATTTTATGTCTTTATATAGTTTAGAAGAAAAAATGGTTGCTGCTTATGAAAATTCAAAATGGGAACCTATTAAATGGGAAAATGATATGCATTGTGCTGTTTTGATCCCTGATAAAAATCAGTGGCGAAGAGGCCAGATCATCAGAGTGGTTTCAGACACAGTGGTAGAGGTAAATGTGCAGAATTTAAAATATAATTGTGAAAGTGAATGATTTTATTATGTGTTTTAATTCACAAACAAGTATGTTTAAGTGTTGTCTTTCCATAAACTCAAACCTACTATCTTTATAGGTCTTGCTGTATGATGTGGGTGTTGAACTAACAGTAAATATTAACCATTTAAGAGAACTTGAAGAAAATCTAAAGACAATGGGAAGATTATCTTTGGAATGCTCTCTTGTGAATATAAGGTAGCTTTCAACAGAATAAATCCCATTTCTCATTGAATATGATAATTTTAAGTATTCTTTTGAGATGAGTTCTTATTTATTTTAATTTAAATACACTCTGAAAGTTTCATAAAATGAACTATTTCATAAGCTTTGAATTGCATAGAAAACAAAATATATGGATTACCAAAACATCTTCCTTAGGATTCTGAGAAAATGTCACATTTTTAAAAAAATCTACTGGAATCATAAAATCAGAGCAACTTGACTACACACTCAACAGCTACAACAAAAGTAGGTACCAGGCTTCCTTTCATGAGGCCCGAAGAGTATCGGGTACGGCATACCCTAAACCACCCAGACCCTTGGTCTGCATTTCTGTGAAAGGACATGAAGGAAAGATATCTGGAATTTTGACAGCGCTAACCACAGGAAGTGGCACTGTTACCTCACTGGACCATGCAGACCAATCTGAGAAAAGCAACCAAAGCTATTATCAGGGGTATTTAGGATGCGCTCCATAGTTGAATGCACATTATGGCCAATGTGCTAAAGTCCCATAGGACAGAACTTTCTTCACCATATGTTTGTTACTAGGTGCTGTCACGTTAGTTCTGACTCACAGAGAACTCTGTACAACAAAAAGAAGCAGTGTTCCTTAAAATTGTTACATTTATACTCCTTGTTACGGTCAGTGTGTTAATCCATTTTATTGAAAATCTTTCACTTTTTCACTGACCCTCTACTGTGTCAAGCACACTGCCCCTTTCTAGGGATTGGTTCCTACCGATAAACATGTCCAAAGTAATTGAGACAAAGTCTTGCCACCCTCATTTATAAGGAACATTCCGGCTATACCTTTCCCAAGTCATGTTTGTTGGTTCTTTTGGCAGCCTGCAGTAATTTCAGTATTTTTCACAAATTTTTCTTATTGTCTAGCTTTTACATGAATTTGAGGCAAGCAGCATCTTTGACATTTCATAGTCTAAAAGAGGCTTTTTTTTATAGATAAAATTTTGAATAAGACTATTCTGTTCCAATTTTAGGCATTGGATTAACGTATTTTTAAGGTTTTTTGGCATACAATTCACATATCATACAATTCAATAGTTCAATTACTTCAAGAAGAGTTATAGAATCATCACCACAGTCAGTTTTAGAATGTTTTCTTCATTTTTGTACTCATGATTATTAGCTCCCCATTTCCCCTCAAACTCCTTTACCATGTCCCAAGGAACTTTTATGTTTACTGACCCTGGTGGTGTAGTGGTTATTCATTCTGCTGCTAATTGCAAGATCAGCAGTATAAAAGGGAGAAAGATGGGTCTTTCTATGCCCATAAAGAATTACAGTCTTGGAAACTCACAAGGACAGTTGTATTCTGTCCTGTAGAGTTGCTATAAATCATCATCAACTCAATGGCAGTAATTTAGAAAACTGATCTCTACAAATTTACATATTCTGGATTTCATACACACAAAAACATTTAAAAGAAAACTAAAAACTAACAATAACAAAGTAAAACGGATTAAAAAACTCAATGGAAAAAGTAGAAAATATTGAAAACTAGACCAAAATTTAAATGGGTCAAAAGGGATATCAAATAATAAAGTGTTAAATTTTAACATAACTGCATCTGCAATAATCTACTTTCCAATACACTCTGCATGACAGCAAGACTATTCACATGCCTGTTCTATGGTCAGAGGAGATTCACCAGGATCTCATGGTATGTAACTTCTCCCACATTCCAAAAGGAAATTTCCACATAATTCATTT